CAGCAAAATGGTGTAGCAGAAAGAAAGAATAGGCATCTCATTGTGACTGCTCGCACTCTCCTCATTGAATCCCATGTTCCACTGCATTTTTGGGGGGATGCAGTCCTTTCATCTTGTTATTTAATTAATAGAATGCCCTCATCTTCTATTCAGAATCAGGTTCCACATTCCATACTATATCCTCAGTCACATCTCTATTTTATCCCCCTCCTCATGTATTTGGGAGCACATGCTTTGTTCATAACTTAGCCCCAGGAAAAGATAAATTAGCCCCTCGTACTCTTAAATGTATTTTTCTTGGTTACTCTCGAGTTCAAAAAGGGTATCGTTGCTATTCACATGATATCCGCCGATATCTTATGTCTGCCAATGTAACATTCTTTGAATCTCAACCTTACTACATATTTTCTGATCATCCTGATGTCCCTGAGGTCTTACCCATACCTCAAGTCTTGCCTGTATCGACTTTTGAGGGACCTACGGTTACTTCTCCATCTTCAATTGTAGTGCCACCACTCCTAACTTATCATCGGCGTCCACGTCCAGCAATAGTCTCAAATGATTCATGTCATGCGTCGGACCCTGCTCCCACTGCGGCCTTGCCTCCTGCTAGCCAATCGATTACACTTCAAAAAGGTATACGATCTACTCGAAATACTAATCCACAATATACTTTCTTGAGTTACCATAGTTTATCTTCACCCCATTATGCCTTTGTATCATCTTTGTCCTCTATTTCCATCCCTAAGGCTACAGGAGAAGCACTTTCTCATTCTGGATGGAGGCAGGCTATGATTGATGAGATATCTGCTTTACATTCGAGTGGTACTTGGGAGCTTGTCCCCCTTCCTATAGGTAAGTGTACTATTGGTTGTCGTTGGGTTTATGCGGTCAAAATTGGTCCAGATGGTTAAGTCGATCGGCTTAAGGCTCGCCTTGTGGCCAAAGGGTATACTCAGATATTTGGGCTAGATTATAGTGACACTTTCGCTCCTGTGGCCAAAATAACATATGTCCGTCTTTTTCTATCTATGGTTGTTGTTCGTCATTGGTCTCTTCATCAGTTGGACATTAAGAATGCTTTTCTGCATGGTGATCTTGAGGAAGAAGTCTATATGGAGCAACCACCTGGTTTTGTTGCTCAGGGGGAGTCTAGTAGCCTTGTATGTCGATTGCGTCGGTCACTCTATGATCTGAAGCAGTCTCCTCGAGCTTGGTTTGGGAAGTTCAGCACAGTAATTCAGGAATTTGGTTTGACTCGTAGTGGAGTTGATCACTCTGTGTTTTATCGACATTCAGTACCAAATCTGTGTATTTATTTGGTTGTTTACGTTGATGATATTGTTATCACCGGCAATGATCAAGTTGGTATCGCTAATTTGAAGCAGTATCTCTTTCAGCATTTCCAAACTAAAGACCTCGGCAGACTGAAGTATTTTCTAGGTATTGAGGTTGCTCAGTCTAGATCAGGTATTGTTATTTCTCAACGCAAGTATGCTTTAGACATTCTTGAGGAGACAGGAATGATGGGATGTAAACCCATTGACACTCCTATGGATCCGAATGTTAAACTCCTTCTAGGATAGGGGGAGTAACTCAGTAATCCTGAAAGGTATAGACGATTGGTTGGAAAATTGAATTATCTCTTAGTGACTAGACCAGACATCTCATCTCTTTTCCTGTGAGTGTTGTAAGTCAGTTTATGACTTCTCCTTGTGATAGTCATTGGGATGCAGTTGTTCGTATTCTGCGATATATAAAGTTAGCCCCTGGTAAAGGACTACTCATGAGTGTTGTAAGTCAATTTAAAACTTTCCTTTTTGATAGTAATTGGGATGTAGTTGTTCATATTCTGCGGTATATAAAATCACCTCCAAGTAAAGGACTACTATTCGAGGATCGAGGCCATGATCATTATCACTGGATATACAACTATTGATTAGGTAGGATCACCCGTTGATAGACGCTCTACATTTGGATATTGTGTTTTAGTAAGAGGTAATTTGGTGTCCTGGAAGAGTAAGAAACAGAGTGTGGTTGCTCGATCCAGTGCGGAAGCAGAATATCGAGCAATGGCTGTAGCAACTTGTGAGCTAGTTTGGATCAACAGTTGCTTGGAGAGAAGAAGTTTGGATAAACCGGTCATATGGAACTTGTGTGTGATAATCAAGCGGCCCTTCATATCGCATCAAATCCAGTGTTTCATGAGAGGACTAAGCACATTGAGATTGATTGTCACTTTGTCAAAGAAAAGATACTCTCAGGAGATATTGTTACCAAATTTGTGAAGTCAAATGATCAACTTACAGATATCTTCACCAAGTCCCTCACCGGTCCTCGTATTAATTACATTTGTAACAAGCTAGGTACATATAATTTGTATGCACCAGCTTGAGGGGGAGTGTTAGAATAGAATAGGTATACACAATCCTACACAGAATAGGAATAGTTTATAGTCTCCTATTTGGTAAGGAATTGTATCATAGTGTCTATAAATAGGGTTCTCTATGTAATAATTAAAACACAATTCAATAATATTATTTTCATATATTTCTCACAACATAGATATCGCATATAACATTAGATGATGTATTCATCTCAAGTTGAATAATCTTAGGCTATAAACAACACCCAAACATTTTAATGACGCAAAGATTTTCAAACAACACAATTTCTGACAAGGAGTCAACCTCAAATTGCATTACAGTTTGAAGGGAAGGGTATATTTAGATGGCTATTTAATAACTGTTGAACCATTGAAAGGAAACATCCTTACAAGAGTTGCATGAGTTTAAAGTACACCCAGTACTTTCTAAGAGTCATTTTTGCAGATGGATACGCAATTTGAACATCACTAAATACCATATAAGACGTACCTGGTGGGAGTAGATCTGTTCTTTTCTCTGATACAAGTACTTGTACAGCTAACAGCTGGTTGATGTCTGCAATCTAAAACGGAAACTAATAAACTTAATTAGCAGGCTGAAAGCAGAAAGCACCCTGAAAAAACATAAAAGAATTATCATACCCATCCTAGATGTTGCAGTACTAACTCCGGATCAGATGATGACTCAAGAATTTTTGAAGTCTCCATTACAGCAGTCTCTTGATCAGAGGAAATACCATTTATGGTATCTTGTAAGTGGTTTGCACCATGTTAATCATTCAAGTAGCTTGATGAATAATTTCGAGCCAGCACAGGCCAGATTGAAAGAGACTTTGAGCTCATCCCTTTACTGGCGTACAGAAAAGCAAGTGCCTGCAAATGCCCAGATTCACTCAGCAATGATTCCAACTCCTCCTGCACTGCCCATTTAAGTTTTATGGCTATCCTTCAAAGAAGATGCCAGATCCCAACTTTATGATTAAACTATTTATAGCAGCTAGAGCAACTACAACACCTAAAGATCTGCATACAAACATTTCTTTACCTTATCCAAGAGAAACCATTCAATAAGTATGCTGGCATCATAGCATTCCTGAAGTTTGCGAAACAAATAAGTGTTTGAAATGCACCCGAGGGTGAGACCTAACGATCTTAAAACCAAGAGAAATCAGGGTTCAAATCCCGGTAACAGAAAAAGACACTCGCTGATTTCTTCAAGGAAGATACGAGATCTCAACTTAAAGATTTTACTGTTTACTAGCAGAGACAACTACTACAACACCTAAGGGACATACACACATTCCTACATCAATGAGAAACAGCCATTTTGTGTAAATTGGATGTTGAGAAGGACTATGATCATGTGAATTGGAAGTTTCAGGATTTCATAATGTTGATGGTGGATTTTGGTGCTAGATGGAGGAAGTCGGTTAAACATTGAATTTCTACAGCTAGGTACTCATTATTGGTGAATGGCAACCATGTGGATGTTTCAGCAGTTAGAGATCCCTGAGGCAGGGAACCTATTATCTCCCATGTTGTTCATCTTAGTTATGGAGGATTGGGATAGAATGATGGGTAGAGCTGTGATGGGTGGATAGTTGAAGGTTACACTGCAGGAGTTGGGGGCATAGCAAGTGCAGAGTCGCATCTATTATTTGCGGAAAACACTCTGGTACTAATTCATGAGGATAAAACTCGGTTAGAACACTTGAGACATGTCTTAACAGGCTTTGGTGCCAGGCCTCAAGATCAATCTCAAAAGTGAGAAATTATACTAGTTGGTGGGAGGATATTGCATTGCTAGCACGAGTTCTCCACTGCAAGGATGGAGTTTTCCCACCACCTATCTTGGCTTGGCACTTGGTGATTCAAACAAGGATCAAGCAGTATGAAAACTCAGCAACTCAGAGGATAGAAAAGAGGCTCACAAGATGGCAGGAGAAATATTTATGGAAAAGGGGAAAGGAAGTTCATACTAAGAGCACATTATCAAGCATCCCAATATATTTCAATTTTCATGTCTCTGTTTCACGCTCTAGCTAGCATAGTGTCACAGGGAAGTTGGAATGAGTCCAAAGAAGTTTTCATTGAGACTTGTCAGTGGGACAAAGAAGCTTTACTTGGTGTGATGGGAGACTGTCACAACTCCTAAATGTTGGGCGGTTTTGCAGTCAAATACCTAGGGGTTTACAATTAGGATTTATTAGGTAAATGGTTGTGGAGATTTGGGAATGAGGAACATACTTTTTGGAGAGAGGCTATGTTGCTCGTACACTCCAAAAATGTTGTACCCATATGGAGTATATACACTACTTTTGGAAGATCCGACACGTATATGGAGGCATTTCGGAAGAGTCCAAGTAACATAGAAGATAGGTAATAGGTAATAGGGAAGAATACAGGCTCTTTGAATAGGGGTGCACGACAAAAAAATGTTACTATGCCTTATGGATGTGGTTCGTGGAGGAACATGTTCAAGAGTTAGAACAGTTCATTTGCAATGTGTCACTTAAGGTAAGGGATGTGAAGAGAGTGAGCTTTGAGGGATATAGGTGGCGTGGGGATAATATTTTGAGAACTACATACCCATACATTTATAAAATTTTATATCAAAAGGAGATGGCAGTCCAACGAATCAGGAGCCTATGAGGTGGAGAAGGTTTTTTGAATTTGAGGTTTAGGAGAAATTTTCAAGGTTGAGAGGTAGCAGAGTTCCCAGGACTAGTCGCTTTGCTTCACAAACAATGTTGAACACATGATAGTGAAATGGTGGGAAATAGGGGTTGGGAACAATGGGTCTTTTATTAAAAAGTCTTATTATGAGATGTTTTTGAAGAGGGAAAATGTTGTCTTTCCATATCAATCAATTCGGATGCCTAAGATACCATGTAAGGTATATTCTTTCACTTGGTTAGCAGCTATGAAGCGGAAAACGGTTACTTATGTTGATTGGTGCTTTATGTGCAAGGATTACGGTGAAGATGCCAATCATCTTCTTCTACATTGCCAAGTAGCATCGAGGCTATAGTGGGAATCTTGAGATGGTTTAGAGTAGAGGGTAATCCTAGGCCCTTCGCAGTGTTTTGGGAAGCGAGAAGCGGAAAAAAGCGACGAGGGCTCGCTTCACTGAAGCAAGAAGCGAAGCGCGCGCTTTTTTTAAGTAAAGTGGTATTTAGTATAAAAAAAAAAAATATTAAATAACTAAATAGAGGTAATATATTCTTAGATTAAAAGTAAATAGATAGTCAATAATCCTAAGTCATAACATATAAAGCAAAACATAATTAAATCACAAAAGGATCAACTTTACTAGTTACTACAAGCAAAAAAAGAAGAAGTGTAACTTAGTAACAAAACAACAAATAAACTAAGTAAAAACAAAATAAAGATTGTTAAGTACAGCAACCAGCATACGCCATACACATCACACTGTATAGAAAAAAAAACAGAGCACCAATAGAAATTGAAAAAAAAACAGAGCTGCAATAGAAGTATAGAAAAAAACCCAGCAGCAACCAGAAATAGGAAAAAAACAGTAGCAGATACAACAACCAAAGAGAAGAAAAGAAGAGAAGAAAAATAGAAGAAGAGACGAAGAGAAGAAGAGAACTTACCTTGCAGCAGTCCAAAGGAAATATTTTAAGTAGCAAAAGTATATTTCAGAAATTAAAAAAAAAAACAAAACTTATAATTTTAAAAAAAAAACCCTAATTAGCGCTTTTTAAAGTTAAGCGCGCTTTTTCTTTTCTTGTGCTTCTCGCTTCAACTGTTGAAGCGATCGCTTTTTGATTGTCGCTTCACTTCAGGGAAGAAAAGCGCAGTAGGTGCGCTTCGCCTCGCTTTGCGCTTAAAGTGTGCTTTTTCTCGCTTTTGATAACACTGGCCCTTCGAAATTTCAATGGGAAGACTGATAGATGGGGAGAAGACGCAGGGTGTGGAATGTTGCTCCACTTGCACTTATGTGAATTGTATGGAGATAATGAAATATAAAAGCTTTTGAGGGTGTTGAGACAAATTTTGTACAATTGAGGAGTAGCCTATTATCCTAACAACTTTTTTCCGTCACCCATGAAGTTTTGTTATTTATAGGTGATAGAGTGCATTTAGTACAAAACCATATCCTTTTAGTTTCTTTTTTTATTTTTTGATCACACCTTGAAATGAGCGTTTTGGCCCAATTGTTGATAAAATTTTGTTACCTTATCAATATGTCGACATCAACTTATGCTAAGGCCAATAAAGTTACCTTAAACAAAAAAGAGACCTGCTACCACTAGAGTTATTCCTATAGTTTACATAACAAGTAAGTGTTTGATGGGCGACCTAGGGTAAGGCTACAGTCAATTAAGTATTTTAAAACTTAAAATCATGAGAAATCCAAAGAAAAGAGAAAAAGTTGTAGGTAATTTCTTCTTATCTGCCTAAGTGTTAAAGCCTTGCTGGGCAAAGTTACCTAATACATGTGCTGGTGGGAGATTGCATGCAATATTATCAAAGCGAAAAAATGCAGAAAGATCTAAAGATCTATTGGGGCTTTAAAAGCAAAGTCCAAATAAAGTGTGGGTTTTGATGAAAAAAGGTGCAATGGAGAAAATATACAGATATACATGTTTAGTCAAAAACTAATAATTATAAGCATGAATAACAAATAAATGGACACAGAAATTAAATTTCTTCACGATAAAATGGAATATCAATTGTTTAGTGCCACCTCTACTGAAAACGCTCATTCGCAAGGAAAAATTTGTGTTTGAGCTTTGATGACGACACCATAGCACACATTAAGCTAGGCAAAATGCTCCACATGTTTTGAGCCTTACTTCAAAGTGTAAACGTGCCTTGATAACAGGAATAGTATGTGTCGGTGGAATAGTCGAAATGTGCGAAAGCTGACCCAAAGGCCAACATTAATAAAAGTACTTGATATCACATACATCAGCAAACCAATACATGAACTACATTTTGCTCCCCGCACAACCAAAAAAAAGAAAAGAAAAAGAACAACCAACAAATCATATATTAGACAAGATAGAGCAAGGTTATATAGACATACCACTACACAACTGTTGTCTGATGAGGCAAGTCTTTCCATGTCATCTACACAATTTAGAGCTCTGTAGAGGTACATCAAAAGAGTGTCAACTCCTTCGCATACCGAAGGAGCTAAATCTTTATGTCGTGATGCTTCTAAAACCCTGTCATAAGAGAGGGGAGGGATTAAGGACCAAAGAAGGCAATATCAAGTAAAACCAAATGGATCATAAAACATTAGATAAAAAAGTTTAACAATCTAACTTTATAGGTGTGTCCCACAAACTAAACCAACTTCAAAAACAAACTAAACCAAAATATGTTACAGAAATGCAATTAACCAAAGGGTAGAGAAATATATTAGCTTCAGTTTTTTCATCCTACATTTCTGTTAGTACCAGCGTATTAAAACGCAATTTTGGGACTCACCTTGGGCGAGACACTGCAAAAAGGCCCGAGACTCATGTGTGGGCATAGTTCTGTCGTGTTTACACCCTAAGCCCCCGACTGTACACCTTAAACACAACTAACACCTAATGCTTAGGGCTTGCCAAACAAATTTATGTGTCAAATTCTTTAGCTAACATTGTTGACCCTCATAATTCTGTAATAAATAAATGATACACTTGATAGTTTTTCCATCAATAGAAATAAGAAGATTGAAAGTAACTCAAACAACAAGTCGTATAATATTGCATATTTACTATTTGAAAACACAGTGAGGGTGGATATTGATTAACATTTTCTTAAAAAAATACATAGCCAAATTTTACATCTTGTTTGCTCTTCTTGTTTTTGTCATATGTTTTAAAATTATCACATTTTATTATTTCACTATTTAAAAGTAATTTTATTTTTATTCATGATGGAGTGATGCTTTTATTATTATGCTTATAAAGTTTATTGTTTATTTTGTTTTAAGGAGGTAAATTTCATAGTATGATAGTACTATATTTGAGAAATTATGATTCTTTTATTATTTGAAAGTTAAGATGTTAAGAGTTGATTTGCGTCACGCGATAACTTCTATATCATTACATTATTATACTTGTAAAATCTTGTTAGTAGTTTTAATTTATGAGTTACTGACTTACTGTAATCATGGTTTTAATTGTTTTAAACTATTAATGAAGTTTGATAATTTGGTGTTATTATACTATTTTTACTACATTAAAAATAAAAAATTAAAGATCCAAGGGGCTTACACCCCATGTCTCGGAGCTTACGCCACGCCTCGTGCAAAGTAAAACGCCGCGCCATGTCTCGGAGCTTAGTCTTCATGAGTCTGCTAAGCAGCATGCTTAGCAAACTCATGAAGATTAACTATTTATTTTTAGCATGAGTACAGGGAAATACAAAGCCAGGGCCTCCAGCTCAATCATCACTACAGACGGAATAGACAAAGACTTATATCTCCAGACTTTACTAAAGAATACCTTGTTCAAACCCTAGATGAAATTAAATGAAGCAAGATTGAACAACCCAAGCATTGAGAGACTGCATTTCGGAAGACAAAATTTAATATTTTACCCCCCATCCAACTTAAGTTTCAGAATAAAGCCAGAATCAAAGTTAGATAGACCACAGAGATATTTGATAGACAATTTATGGATAACATATAACAAAGTGCCGCGAGACAATAGTTACTTCATTTCAGTAATGAATTCGCTAAGCCATTATTTTACAGAAAAAAATGAAGACAAAAAATTCAAGTTTTATGTAGTAGTCCAAGGAAGATTGGCCGGAATTTTCCAGACATGGACGGAAGTAATAGACTCAATAAAAGACTTCCCCACTCCCCTTTTCAAGGGATTCAATGATCTAAACGAAGCTGTGGATTACGCAAGGGGAACTCTTGGACAAAATTATTTTCTAAGTCCAGCCTTAAGACAAATCATAAATCCTTTCCCACAATATAATATCCAGAGAGACACAAACAAAATAATATTTTGCGACCACTGCTCTACAATGACAGGCGGCTTCAAAAGACAAAACCAGACCATTGAGAGGCTCGAAAAAGAAAAGAAAAAATGATGCAACACATCTACCTTTTACAAGAAAGAATAAAATTTTACATTTCGAAATCAATTAGACCCAACCATTACAAATAGAAGATCATCCAAAAGAATAGAGGAGTTCTCCATCTTGGTCTAAAATGGATAAGAAGGGTGTACATTCCCCAAAAAATGTAGAAGAAGCTACTGTACCAGCTAAAGGTACAACTAGTCCCATTCATACGGTAGAGGGTAAAGACTTATCAGATCCGTTAATGGCTGACACTTTGCCAAAAAGTGTATGAATATTACCAGCTAGTTTTAATATAACAAGAACTACAGAACAGGGAAAAAGGACTAAAGGATTCTTGTTAAAAAGAAAGAAAGACAAAAGAATTAAACAAATGATACAAAATTCCCTCTAGAAGTTACTTAGTGAAAAGAGCAAAGAAGTCATAAGTGTATATCCAAAACCCAAACCAGAAACTCCAGACACAGAATATTCAGGAAGTAACGATTATGGAAGTGAATACAATCCATCACTAGAACAATTTACCCAAGACCCAAACATAGACGACGACTCAGGGATGAGTTTCGACTCCATAGCGTTACACAACTTAGACACATAAAAAATACTTAAGCAATGAAGAATCAAGAGAAAAGACAAGGAAATATAGGTAAGCCATGACGTAATACACCACTAGTCTAAAGCTGACAAGAAAGAGGACAAAAAATTGACACCACTAGTCTAAAGCTGACAAGAAAGAGGACAAAAAATTTTGGAAATGTTTTTCAAAGCCATGTGACAATGGGGCCCAAAGAGAACCCAACAAGTAAAAGAAAGACTATTCAACATTTTGAAATCCGGAGAAAGCCATCATTGCCTATAAATACCAGACCATTTGCAAGAAGAAAGGGGAGAGCGAAGAGCAAGCGGAGCATAGCAAAGAGAAAGAATTAGCTTTATATATTTATTTTCCCTTCAATGTAAAAAAAAGAGTGAAGTGAGTTTCTAAAAAGAGTGTGAGTGTTTAATTTCTTAAGTAACTGCAAAGTCACTCGGGGACTCCCGAAAGGGAAACCTCTCTCCAACCACTATCAATGTTTGTAGTTATGTGTTTTCTAGATCTTAGAAGTTTCTCCCAATTTATGTACATTGATATTATGTACTGTTATATATATATAAATATAGTATTGTTGTTATGATTATATAATAATATGTTGTTCATACATGCATTGTTTACACTCATATAATGGGTCTTTACTTACTCTTGGTAAATGGTTAGTTCCCTACCCTCTTAGTAACAATGATGGATTAACCTGTAAATACCTAAGGAATTTGAAAGTCCGCTATGGTCAGAGAACCAAAGGACTGTGTATCCCGGGATTTGGTTAAAGAGGAAGTAGATAAGAACATAGGCAAAGGAAAAGAGATGAACAAAGTATAAAGAAAAAAAAGCAATTTTGGGAGAAATTACGTAGATTTAGTAATAAAAAACTACTACACTAGATAAGGGAACGAAGGAGGAAGTACTGAGTAGGATTTTACAAAATAATTCACAAATGCATCATTTTCAACCTCACCAAATTTATTATTAAACAACCTTTATTTAACAACCCCCTCCCCATTATATACCTTTGTATACACTATTTAAACGACTTTTTATTTAGGGATTTCTTGCAGTTGATTTTCTTAAATAGTACTTTCTCTTAGGTTTGTATTCCTGTCTACTTTGATATCGCTTTTTATACTTTCTTAGTGGTTTACTTTGATCGTAACTTTGCATTGTATATATATTTTTACAGAAACCAGTCTCGCTTTATTTCAACTGTGTTTGTATTTGTATGTTTGTACATTTTTCTTGTAGTATCTCCATTACATGTTGTACTTTATGTCCTATGGACCAATTCGCGGTTGGATTTTGCATTACTCCTTCTCTTTTATTCCATCTTTCTTCTATTTCTCTTCCTAGGGCTCCAATGAGCTTATTGAAAAGTCTCTTTCCTAAACTTTGGTTAAACGCGTTACCATGGACCAATTCGCGGTTGGATTTTGCATTACTCCTTCTCTTTTATTCCACCTTTCTTATATTTCTCTTCCTAGGGCTCCAGTGAGCTTATTGAAAAGTTTCTTTCCTAAACTTTGGTCAAACGCGTTACCGCTTATGGCGCAATAATAGAAGAAGTCTTTTAGGAAGTTGTTCTTTATATGGCACCAATTATTTATGCTAAGTTGTTTTAGTTTTATTAACGCATTCTTTTGTAATACTACTAATCCACTATTTGGGTCTTCTCCTGTTACTAGGCTGTGTATTTTATTAGTAAAGTTGTACGGGTTTGGTCCCCATGTTTACCAATTCTTGGAACTCTTGAGGGTAAGCTACTTTGTATGCTTCCCATACTCCTTTAATTGATTCTCCTAAAAAGGTCTCCATATACCTATACATGGTCTCTGCATCTCTTTTACTGTAATGATGTATGTAATCTGCTACCACTATACCTTTCCATATGTCTATTACTGAATTCCATAACTGGGGGTCATGTGCTTCTATATTTAGTATTTTTCCTATATCTCCCCCATCTTGGGGAGAAATAGATGAAGACCTCGACGACAACACCACCAAAACAACAATAAACATGGAGGAATGAATATCCAGATCATAGAAGAAGACGACTACGATAGATAAATCGATAAAGAAAGCCAAAGAAATATACGAATTAGATAAAAAAAAGAAGCAATCTACAGATGTAAAGGCTGCAAACTAAGAGGAATAAACTTCTATATGGTAGAACGACACTTTAAAGAATGCAGAGCTAGAACAAACAATTACGGGTATAGACAGAAGGAAGATGCACAAGAAGAAAGTGATGACGAGACAACACGCAGTTTAAAGGAATTTTTGGAAACAACCTCAACTCGTTCAAGTCCCTTCCAAAAAACTACACCAGTACCACCGGTAGAATATACCATAGGTAACTTACCAAGGAACAGAGTCTTTAGACAAGACCCAGCTACAAAACCAAATATGGTTAGACCAATAGGAATAAGAATGCCAGTAGAAGCTCCTATCAAACTTCAAGATGGGGGAGATAGAGGAAAAATACTAAATATAGCAGCACATGACCCCCAATTATGGAATTCAATAATGATGTATGGAAATGTTTAGTGGT